AGTATTAGGCACTTACATTTTCTCTTCCCATAAAATCCGCTTGTACTGATGGCTGCCATTTTCTGAATGAGGTAAAAGAAGGTACAAAAGCCCCACCCCCTCACATTTGGTATCATTGAAAAGCCCTAAATGTCCTCTGTAGATACCAAAAGGAATTAATTCAGTAGTATGCAGTGGGTGGGAGATATTCAAGTTTACAAATGTCCTCTGCAGAGGACAAATTTGAACTACTGGTAGTCAGGAGGTTATTGAGAGGTTTTGTGGTTGGTGTACATCCTGGCAGCTTTCAGTAAGTTGAAAAAATAGGTCACAGTTATGATTTGAGGTATTATTTCCTGTTATTTGTGTACGTGACACTACGTGACATGCGGTGAGGCTTATAGTTGGTGAGGCACTGATATTTACAAAATATAAACCTAAAAGGAAACCTTATCGAACTGGCTACTGATTATTTTGCATCTCATCAACGTTCTTCACACACTCTCACATACACGTTTGGTACGTAGTCCTATTAAAGGTATGTAAAGATAAGAAAAAACATTACAATAACAGCAGTGAGAGAAAGTAGCATTTGCTATGCACCCTTGAGGCAAATACAGCTTCTAGCTGTATTAAAGGTATTAAAAAGAGGAATCATGACTTTTTCTATTATAACCAGTGCTTTTAGGTCCATCTGTTCTCTGTTCTTCACAACATCGATAATGATGCTTATTAAAGTAATGCTTGACCCCACATTATTTAGGGTTATTTGATAATTAACTGCAACTTATATCATTCTTGCTCCTAGTCAGTATTCAGGTTTAATCTTTATCTTTGCTTCAGGTTGATGATTTTTCTTTTTCTGTGAGCAAAGATTCACAGGGCACCGAGACTTTATCGACAGCAGAGGCTATAAATCCATCTTTCTGTTGGAGGTTTTATTGTTGTTTTTTTCTTCCATCTAATAGATGAGGTAGATCAACATCCCTGGCCTAAACTGCTGTCCTGGTCACTAAAGGACAAAAAAACTGCCATTGTGTTACCGTGTGTGCAGATAGTTGCGAGGTTGTGGTTTTAAGTATGCGTAATACCAAGTTTTTCTGTCTTAATTTTCTACCCTTGTATTGTCACATTATTTGATTATATGAATTACAATAAAAGCTGTTTTTTGATTAAAACATTTAGAGTTGTTGTAATTTGGGGGTTTAATGTATCTTTTGAAACAGGATTAGGATACATCTATGAATCTTCTTTGGTAAGAAAGGGTGCTGTCAGAGGTGTGCTGGTTGGAGGCCCCACTCAGTTGCTAACTTTGCCTGCATGGTAAGCCCTCCCTGATGAAGGTCACACTTGTGTCAGTACTCCTAAACACTGACTCAAGCTGTGTTGATTTTTCCTCCACATGGAGAGGTGTGGAAGCCAAAAATTAAACGTGATTTGGCTGCCAGGGCCTGGTTCATGCATTAAGCATAACCCAAGTTTAGCAACAGTATGTGCTGTTTGCCGTGTGTTTACTGTCTTCAGCAAGCAGCGTTGGCCACAAAAGCAATTAAAGGCAGTCAGACCCGGCAGCCGTCCCAGCAGTAACAGAGAGAACAGCGACTTCGCTCTGTTTCCCTCTGTCCCTCTGTTTCCCGCATGAAAATGAGTTGGTGGGAAGGTGTGACTGATTCTGTATATGTTCTTTTCTTTCTTTCTACTTATCAGGTTCGGGTCTGACTGCTACAGTCTCCCGAGAACATCTCAAGTCTCCTCTAAGTGTGGAGCCTGTCTTGCCTTCATCCACTGACTGGCACTTTGGCCCACCGGTGTATTGGTGGTGCTCTTTGTTTGAGGGTGGAGGCCATGGCTGGTACTGGCTTATTCCTGGGGGCTTCTTCGCAGGGCCTGGGTCGGGGCTCCCGCCAGGGGGCGGGGCAGCGGTGGGGCCTCGGGTACCTGGGGCCCATGGCTAGTTCCACTTCAGGGAGGCTGGCTGGCGGTGGAGCCCACTGGCCCGTCCCCGTGGCTCCTGGGGGCTTTGGCATTGCACCAGCTGGGGGATCTTCCCTTGGTGGGGGGGGGTGGATTTCCTGGTTTGGGCTTTCTTGGGCACCTTTTGTCTGGGGAATCCCTATGGGCAACTTTGGTTTTGGGTCCCCCTGCCTTGGTGCTCTGGGGGAGTGGGTCTTTGGCTATGCTAAGAGCCATACTACTCCCCATGTGAAAGTAAAATCTGTTGAGCTATTTTTGGCATCAAGATTATTCTTCTTATTTCCACATTGCCAGACAGGACACTGTAAAAAAAAAAAAAAAAAAAAAAAAGAGTTACAAATGGAAAAACCACCACTGATTACCCCTGGAGTGGGACATTAATAAAATATTTTAGGTCATTTTTTACTGTTACTTTACAATAGATTCCTTGCATTTAATTTATACATAGCCCCACCCAATGTGTGTGGCTATGCTTTCTGTAAGTTGAATTTGATAACATAGAAAGATTGGTTTATTTATATTTGGTTCAGGTAAAATATTGCTGAATATTGAAACAATTCTCTAGAGTGAAGTTTTAGTTTTGAATGTATTTAGAGTTTTTTTTTTTCAGTTATATTCTGTCTTGCTTACGTTGACATTTCCCTGTCCTACAGCTAGATCCAAGCATGTCCAAATATTCCAAATAAGTGATGAGATCATCTCACATCTTTTGGAACAGTCAATTGCAACTCTCCTTGCTGAAGAGCTGACCACAGTGTTACTCAGCATTGAGGATCGTTGAGAGGTAAGCTACAGCTCAGTCGATGCCAGTCGTCAAACTCTAAGAATCTTTCTCTTTGCTGAAGTTTAAAATGGCCCTACAAGTTTATAACTTTGTCTCCTTCTATGTGCATCTTTTTGCCCTTTGCTGTCTCCCTCCATTGTTTATGACCAAACTTGGATTCCATGTATCAGCAGAATATTATTAGCAGTAATCAGCTGCCCAGAACAGTGTAGGCCTAATATTAAACAAACCTTTGAGGCAAGTATTATGCTTTGATGAATTTTAGGAATCAATGTCCTCAAATCAGCCTTGGCAGCTGATCTAATTGCTCCCTTCATTCACCTGCTGTTCCCTCCCTACTCTATAATTATCATAAATCTTATTCACTTGCTCCCTCTGCTATATATACAGCCCAGCTATCAGGGCCAGATCCTTATTGTTTATTTGTGTTATGTTTCAGTTGTGTCAGTTCTTCATGTTTGTTTTTTGAGTTTTAAGTCCCTGGTTCATGTTATCATCCTCGCAGGCTAGTGGATTGTCGTAGGAAAAAAGTATTCAACTATTCACCCTAGTTAAATAAACGGAAATCGATGGATTTCACTCAGTCAGCACATTTATTCATATCTTTGCAAAGAGATAACAGTTCATCATACAGCCCTAATGGCACAGCATTCTGCCCTGTTCTGCTAGAGCAGCATTCGTCCCCTTTTACTTACAACAATGCAAAAGTAATCAAAGTCAAAACAAAGTACAGACACTTTGGTTAAACACTAACATGTTATGAATAAACCTTGAGAAAGAATCTGGTTTGTTATGGGAAGAAGCTATGTCTGTTCTACAAACATCATCCTGCAGAGAATCATGTGGCCTTCAAGGTGAAACAGACTGGGTGAAAACTTTTATAGTGAGTAAATAGGATAAATTAATATATAATAGAAGAGAGATAAAAAAAATTCCGACAACATGGATTGAAAGGGTCCTTTCTGCTCTTGCATGCTGTTTATTTTTGGATAAAGAGCCTGGTAAGGTACATAGATCTTTGAATATTTTGTCTCTAATTGTTCTCATTTCTGTCTACTTAAATATGATTTAAATGTTTCTTTCTATTGTCATTAAAACATTTTCTCTATTTCCTTATTTAAAATATTTCAAAATTTTAGTTAGCATATTTATTAGATTTAGGTCTGGATAGCCATGTCATTACAAGGCAATTATGTAGGTTCTCTGTGTATTCTTTAGATCAAAACCCTGTGAATTTAAACCTACTTTGACCCATGAGCAGCACTAACCAAGGGACAAATTGAAGAAATAAAGCCAAAATTGCCAATGTAGAAGAAAGACTGTTTTATTTCTTTGCTTTTTTGGATCAGTTTTATTGATCTGTGTGTAATACATAATTCTTAGTAGACCAGAAAGTGTTTGCTTTACGATGGAAACCTTGTATATCTAAAACCTATCCTTTATTGTACATTTTGTTAGCTTGTCTCTCTGCTATTTTAACCAATATGATGTGTTGAAATAGATCTGTTATTTTCAAAGCTTTTTGGCACACCTTTTTTTATAAAGTAGGGCATTGATTTATAAAAAAAAGGTATTTGAATTCTAAAAATCAAAGTTTTCTGCGCAATAGTAATGATGAACTGCGCGGCAACATTCTATACCAGCAATTGTAGTATCTAGGCAACAGCTGTCAGCCTGGTAACGAATCTGGTTGTTTTTCATAATTGTTAAGGTTAACTTTTTTTTTGCAACATAAAACTGACTAAAACTAGACTAAAAACTTTTAAAGTTTTAGCCGACTAAAATCGACTAAAAACATCACATATCATAATGACTAAAATGCGATTAAATCTAATAATGGTTCTGAAGACCAAGACTAAATCTAAGATGGCTGTTAAAAACAACACTGACAGCATCATTTTCCCATCAGCAGGTGCTAATAATGGCGCTTATTGTGTCCACTTTTTTCCCTGTTGTCGGAAAATTTTTATTTCTCTTAATTCATATGTGGGGAGTAACGTGACGTGACGCTCGGCCAAGGAGGGAGAGCGTCAGGTGTAGAGAGAGAGTGGAGATGTGGAGCAGAAGAAGGAAGGAGGGGGAATTCCGACCGGGCAGTGGACGCCAGAGGGGGAATTCCGACCGTGCTGCGGACGCCGACAGCCAGAGGAGTTTGGTGCAGTGAAGATATATGCCTGCAAGTAAACTTGTCTTAAGAAAAGTTCGGGTGTTGGAACCGTGCGAGTGGTGACAGCTGGCGAGCCGCAGCGAGAAGACGGCGCTGGGGTCCATGAACGTTGGTTCGCTCCGATCCGAACAGATCGAACATTCCTTTCTCTATCCTCTCCCTTCTTCTCTTCTATGGAACTGTGAGTATACCCTGCCACCTGACTTCACCGAAGACAGCATTGCTTTAAGGAGCCTTTTGCACTTTGGGGACAGAACTTTTGTGCAGCTGCGGGGCGGGGTCTCACCGAACGGATAACCGGTATTCGATTCCAAGGAACTGTGCTTACAGTTGTGTTGGTGGACATTCGGGACGCCGTGACGTTATTGCCTATATTGTTTTGCTGTATGTTTGTGATGTATTTGTATGCCTAGACTGGCGGTAACACTGATGATGTTTACTTTATGTGGGTAAATTGGGGTTGTCTCACCACGGTTTGCATTTTCAAATGAGGTTACTGTTAAATGATCCAGCATTTCAGTTAGTACGGTCCCGGGACATATTTGATAGTTTTGAGGTTTTTTTTTTAAATTTCGATTCAAAATAAGAGTTTGGGTTCATGAGGAACTGATTGCATTTAAGTGCCTCTGAAGGCTATTTGGTGACATAATTTTCTGTTGATTAATCCAGGCCAACTTTTATTTTATGGTCTGATTGTTTCGTTGAAAAAAAGCAATTTACTATTCCATTTCCATTTACCAGTTTCTGAGCTTGAAGCTCTAATAAAATATAATTGTTTATGCAAACTGGTGATTTATTCTAAGTTGTGGGGGGGGAAAGACATCAACATATCACACCCTCACAGGCGCATACTTCAAATAACTTCTACCCTTCTTAACCTACTACTAGTAGTATTAAGTGATACAGGATAGAAATTTTCATGTAAGTTCAGGCGCTTAAATTTAGCGTCACGAACAGCACGAATATCTGTGTTGCTTATTAGCAAGCCCAGTTAAAATGTCAGACTCAGAAGAAATGAATCAGCTGCGTGCGCAGTTTGAAGAACTCCAAGCAAGGTTTCATGAACAATCCTCGCATATGAAAGAACAAACAGCACTACTTGAACAGGCCAGAAAAGATCAAAGAGAGGCTATGGCAATGGCAAAAGTGGTGCTTGAACAGAAAAAACAACCTACTGTCTATGTACAGAGAGATAGAAAGTGCACAGATTTCACAGGCAGTAAAGCAAGTGATGAGCAATGTATAGAAGAGTGGATTGCTTCAATTAAATCATACTTTAAAGTATGTAAAATCCCTGAAGAGGATAAAGTGGAACTCATAAAGCAACACCTGAAAGGAGAAGCAAAACTAACTGTTAAGCTCATGCTGGAGAGTAGCGCTACAAATGCTGAGGCTGTGTTCAAGGTCCTTGAGGAGGTGTATGGTGACAAAGTCCCTGTAGGCACAAGGCTAAGAGAGTTCTATGACCGCAAGCAAGTAGCTGGTGAAAAAATTAGGGCATTTGCTTATGATCTACAGGAGAAACTTAGTCGATTAATAAGACGTGACGAAAAGCGCTTCCAAGATCCAGATTTAGTGCTCATGGAGCAGTTTGTGTTGGGATTGCATGACGATTCCTTACGCAGAGAGATGAAGAGGCAGATTAAGGGGAGGGAATCTAAAAAATTCAGTGAGCTCATGCAGGCCGCCATCGACTGGTCGGAGGAGGAAGAAGTTCTGTCAGCTAGTCCAGCAAAGAACCCCAACCGGGGCACTGTAAGCGCTGCTTCTGCTGAAAGTAACTTTTGTGCAGGCCTGTCACTGCAGTCGCTGCACGAATCCATACAANGCTGCACTGCACAGCTGCTATGGTCCAGTTGATGGCCGTGTACCACGTGACGTGACGCTGGACGCGGAGCCAATGAAGGAAATGAATATCCTAACGATATTAATAATTGTATAAATAATTGTGTTTGTAAATAAACTAACAGGAACTTATCTTCAGATTAACTTGCCTTCTTGGTGGCTCGTTTTCAGTGCTTTACTGCAAT